GCCTTTGATAAAAAATTACTGAAATCACTAAAGAAAGTAGCATTGCCTTGTTCGCTATAATTCCAAATTCATATATAAGCTATCACTAATAGGAAATAGTTTGTAAAAAACCCACATTTTTCCATAAAACTTAGGTTTACTACCTGCCTGGCTATTTCCGATTCATTAACAGAGGAGATATGGTCACAGCTAAGACCCAAAACTGCACGCAAAACGGCCAATACCTCAGGAAAAGGTTTTACATGGCAGTTAAAAGTTCTAAGTATAAAACTAAACAATTACATTTAGAGACCACACTTACGAAAGATTTACATACATGGCTGACCGCTCAGTGTCTGCAGAGAGCAAAAAGACACCCTTTGTATTTTCTTATACAAGATGGTGAGTACTTCATCCTCAACATGCATGGGTCACAAAATAAAAAATATCATTAATCCTATTTAAGGTGCTTGCAATATTTGTATATGGCTGTTGCTGTAGGAATACAATTATTTTAAAAATCTGAGAAAAGCTTCATGTTAAAAATTTCTTGCCCAGAGGTTGTTTTATCTCTGATGCAGAATATAATTCATTTCATAACACGCAGTATTCTTCCCTACACAATAGTATTTGATGATAAAAGAATCAGTATGAATATGCACAAAATGCCTATTTTCCTGATTTTTACAGTTATTGCTGAATTAAAATTTGGTTACATATATATCTTTTAAACCTTCCTCCGCAGGTTAAAAAAAAAAAAAAATTCTCACATATGCCCAATACAAAATACTGCAGAAAGCAGTCCAGGAAATTAAAGATATTGAAAGAAAAATAATGTTTCTAATTCAAGAAAGTAGCCATAATAAACACTAAAAAATGATATGTGAACCTGAATATTTTCATTGCAGGAAAAAAACAAAAAACAACAGACCTCCTTCTATAAGGACCTATCTTAAATGTGGTAAAACTGCACTATGTAAATAGCAGCAGCAACATGCCCTGGGGCACACGGCTGAAATGCCTGCAAAAAATTTCCTCTGACGACACATAAAGTTGGTTTCTCAAGACCTGGGGGGCAATAAGTATCTCAACAGTGACCTCTAGTGGACAAGTCTTAAAATGGTTGTCTCTAAGTAAAACTCCTTTGTGTTTTGTTTTTTTTTTTAAAATTTCAAAATAATAAGGGGGTACGAATGTTTTAGGTTACATGGATCGCTTGTGTAATATCTGAGTCCCAGCTAATGGCGCTCCTGTCACCCAGAGTTCATAGTACCATTAGGTAGATTCCTCCCCCTTTTCTCTGTTTTTCCCTCCTCCCCCTGGTTGATTTCCACTGAGCTCTGCGCACATGTGAGCTCATTGGTTAGTTCCAATTTAATAGTGAGTACATGTGGTGTTTGCTTTTCCGCTCTTGAGATACTTCACTAAGGAAAATGGTGTCCAGTTCCATCCAGACTGTTGCAAAAAGTATGAATTCATATTTTTTATGGCTGAGTAGTACTCCAGGACGCACATATACCACATTTTATTAATCCACTCATGAACTGATGGACACTTGGGTTGATGCCACATCTTTGCAATTGTGAACTGTGCTGCAATAAATACTCAAGTGCAGGTGTCTTTTTGATGAAAAGCCTTTTTTCTTTTGGGTAAATACCCAACAGTGGGATTGTTGGATCGAATGGCAAAGGTCTATGTTTAGTTCTTTGAGGAATCTTCACACTGTTTTCCACAGAGGTTGAACTAATTTACAGTCCCACCAACAGAGTATAAGTGTTCCTTTCTCTCTGCATCCACACCAGCATCTATTGTTTTTGGACTTTTTAATAAATGCCATTCTAACTGGGGTAAGGTGATACCTCACTGTGGCTTTAATTTGCATTTCCCTGATGTGCTTCCTTCAAGCAACCACGATCAGTTTATACAGGGAATTAATGGGAGGCCACTCTGTGCTCAGCAACGGGCATTAAAGAAGAATAAGAAACAGCCCTGCTTTCGCAAAAGCTTATAATCTATTTGCAGAGAGAGAAGAAACACAAAGCGGAAAGACGGAAAAGTCTGCACAGGTGTTAGAGAGTCTACCTGCAAGAGGAGTTTGGGGAAGGAAGGTTTCAAGGGGGCCAGGGCAGCCAGGGGGTCTCCAGGAGAGGATGGGGAGGGGCTGTGCAGGGGAATAGGGGAGGGGGGAGGCAGAGGGGGCGAGGAGGAGGAGGAGGGGGAGGACTGGCAGCAGGAACAGGCCGGGGTCCCACAGGCAGGACTACACACAGGGAGAGGAGATCAGTCTTCCTGCAGCAGCGAGTGGGGAGGAGAAGCTGACACGGGGTGTGGGGCTGGATTAGGGCAGTTTCTGAAAGGGGTGGGGGGCAGAGAGAGAAAGAGAAAAACAAAGAGCAAGAGAGAGAGAGCATGCGCACCTTCCACCAGGTGTGCGCAGCATCCCAGCCAGGTGCTCAGGAAACACGCGGTGTTTCCAAAGGGCTCCTCTCTCTGAACCTCTTCCCATTGGGCCGGAAAGAACATCTGTTAGTACTTGCCCCATCACAGCAGAAAGGCAGAAGAAAAAGATTCACTTGCTCCTCGTCCCCCACTCTGCTTAAAAACATCATGAATATACACCTGTCTAGGAAAGTAGCTGCAGATAGGTTAATTCCCCCACTGATTTCACCAAAACCCATCAACACTGTCCTGATCCCCGAGGTTGACATTTCAATAGGTTCCCTATTAGAGTGATGAAGCTCTAACAGCGATTAACTTAACAATATTAAAATATTTTTAGGAGCTGCAGTGTAGACGACTTTAGGAATTTCTGCAAACAACATCTGGAGGGATTTCAGGATCATACAGCCCACGTGGGCCTGTCCAGTTCAAACCCACCAGCGACAAAAGGGAAGTCGACCCAGCAGCACACTGCTCTGACGCCTCTGCAGATACTAACTCAAGTAAGTGGAGTCAAACGCGGTCCCCAAATCAAGATCCCAGTCTGAGTAAGCCAGTCATCCCCTCCGCGAGTACACGAGTGGAAATGTCAGAGAACGGTGTAATTGGCATACTAAGAGATAAACACAAATACTTTTTGCAAGATAAAAGCAGTGCTGAGGGGTTTATCTTTTTGAGTCCCAGTGGTTTTAATGTGGTGTTGTCAGCCAGTTCCTATTAAAAACACCAGAAAGTGAAAGACACTGATTACAACAGAAAGTGACAGGAGGGTGTGCTCAGCCACTTCCATTTAATGCATATTTATATTTCCGTCAAATGGACATATTTACTATAAACACTTGAAAAAACATAGCGGAGTCATTCATTTAAATGCCAGAAAAATAGTAAAAGATGCTAATTTGACCTTAGTGAAGCAGACTGGGTGTCACCGACACTGCTCGCAGCGGCTCCAAACAGAATTTACCAAGACGACTAATTAGAGTTTACTGGATTAGGTCGAAAGTGTCTCCGATGGAGTGCGGAAGGGCGGGGGTGAAACAGGCCGGGGAGAAATAAAAAGTTTGGATTCTTTCGTAGTCGATCTCTTGAACAGCCAATGCAATTTATTCATAACCATATTTACGCCTCTCTGAATTAACCTAATAGTATATGCCTGGAGAATGAAACCGATCCATTGATCCCTGAACTTCCATCTTTGTGAACATGTAGAAAAGAAATGAAGTACAACTATTTGATTTTTTTTTTAAAGAACAGATCAATGATACGATAGGAATGAAGCCGGTTTTGCTTCCTTGTGTGAAAGGAAACCGGTTTGCAGTAACGACAGTGCAGATCTGAGGTGCTGAGCAAGCAATCAAGAAACACTTCTGCCAGCTATGTGACGGAGGGTAGCAGGAATTTCTGCTCACAAAATCTTGGGGAATTTAGGGATCGATGCAGCTCACCCTTCAAAACAAACCGCAAGTCCCCTCTGAACTGGGATTAGGGTCTCTGTGGACCACAGCACCAGGACCATTTGCTATAAAAACGATGGAACTGCAGCATAGCACCGGTTACAACGTTAATCACACAGGACTTACAGGGTCTCACTCTCAGCGTCTGCGGCCACCACGGCTTAAAAGTGACAACTGTGCCACTCTGCCTGTGCCTTACAAATATGCACTTTGGCTAAAAATGAACTAATCCGCCTGTTTCTTGCACGCGAGGGGGCCTTGCTGCCACTCTCAACTCTCCATAATCAACAGCTCTGTGACACCGCCTCGAGCTGTATATGATGCACACACGCACATAAATTCACGACGCAGATCCCTCAACATGACATTCTGCTCCATTTCACCGGACTCGGAAAGCCCCCTAACAAATTCTCGCCACATGATTAGAAAATCATTCAGGTCTGCAGGAAATACGGCAGGCGCAAAGAAGTGACAGTCAATTAGGAATGAGAAAGAAAGTGGGTCTCCGTCATTAAAATCTTGAAAGCCACAGCTCTAAGAACAAAATGGTCCATAACTCACACACGGTACTCTTACAAAAACAGATATCAACTGTACCGTATGGTAACCATACCACGACACTATTGATGCCCAAGAGAATTTTTTTTTTGATGGGGAAGTCAGGGAACCAGACTCAAAAATTTGAAAAATGCAGATGTTAAGTGTATATAATTTACATAATTTTGTGTCCCCCATCCCTCCCTTTGAGGAGGAAATATAGATGTAAACAAACAACTCATTCTAATATTTTTTGATAAGTAAGTTTTTCTTATATAATGCTAACCGGTGGTCGGGCAGTTCAGGCTACCATAGAATGCACCATCCCTGAATAAAACCACTTCCAGAGATATGAGGTCATTTTCTGTCTTCATCTACACCCATGTGATAAGAAAGAATCTTCAAAGGACAGCAAAGTTCAAAATACAGGAAGACAATATGCTAATGTCTCTTAGTGTCACCGAAAGAAACTTTAGGTTTCCTCAAATAATCATTTGTCATTAGTTTCTTCAAAGGAAACAACAGAATTGGCAGTACCAAAATAATACCTAAAAGTCGGAAAGTGTATAACAAACGAAAAAGATCACTTACTTGTTAGCTTGTTGTGGCTGAGGACCAGTTGTGTGATATGGGATAAGGAAACTAAAAAGAAAGGAAGAAAAAAAAAACAATCAGAGTCAGTAAATGTACCCAGATTATACCTACACTCCTACAAGGTAAACTGCTAAATTATTTTCACAGGTTGAAGTGTTATCGGTCACCAAAACAGAAGCTAGGATTCTGCAGAACACTATCTGTTATGTGTTAAACCAAATGAAGAAAAGTCATGCAATTAACAGTGCAATTAGCAGAGCAAGTTAGAGCTAATGAGATTAATGTCACAGGATCAAACGTGGCAGGGGCCAGTTAGCTTTGCTTGGCGATCTGATCTGCTGGCCTGACCTTGGTGATCCATCTCAATCTACACGTGCCAGTCAGGAGCCAGCCGAGAGCGCAGACACACACAAAGGCCTTCCTTACCCGGGCTAATTAAAAAACAAAAAACCAAAACTACCCTATCACAACCGAAACATCACATAACAGAAGGCCAGTGGGTATCGTCCATCCAGACATTGTTCTACACACCAGACAATCCGAGCAATTTCCTCTCAACATACTTCGGTTGACATTTATTTCAAAGCACTGATCTGAAATGCAGATTGCTTCCAGCTTCCAACATTATCATGGAGGTTTAATCTGTTCAACAAGATTAGGTTTGCTTAAAGAATGCTTTTTCCAACTAGAAAGAAAGAAAAATATACACAGAAATACACACAAAAATACAAGAGAGAGACAAAGAGAGGGAGAGAGAAAAGGGACCTGCCTTCTACTTTGGGTTCTAAAACTTTATCGGTCAGCAGATAGCGCTTATATAATAAATTCAGAATTTTTTCCAATATTCTTTCAATAAGAACATTCTATTAATGCAGTAGAGTTTTTTTCCCTTAAGTGGAAATAACAAGACAAAAATTTTTCTCAGGAAGGGCCTCAATGTTGGAGCCCACCACGCTTTGAAAATGAGTACGCATCACTCCTGACCTCAACTTTTGCATGTTACTTTAAAAACCATCACAAAATTAATAGGAAAGTTCAAAATACAACACAAAGACCTGCTTTCCTGGCCTGAGCCATCGAAATGAATTAAGATGTGCGCCTGGTGCCCCATGAACTCTAGGGTGTACTTCCCACAAACAAAAAAACATTCTCCCACATAAGCACGATGCAACCACCAAAATCAAAAAGTTAACCTGATACGTTATGATTATCTAATCCTCAGGCCCCATCCCAAGTTTCACCAAATATCCCAAACATTTCTTTCACGACAGACACTGCAGGTAGCTGTGGGGTCTCTGCCATCTCCTTTAGTCTGAGGGTTTTTGTTTCCTTGACTTTTTAGACCTTGGTAGTTGTGAACACTGCAGGCAAAGTCATTTTGCATCACGTCCCTCTATGTGGATTTGCCAGTCGTTAACTCCTGATCAGATTTCGGCTACGATTCTCTGGCAGGAATGTTGGAGAAACGCCGTGTTCTTCTAGTGGCATCCTATCCAGTGGCACGCGACTTTAATGTGTCCTCTCGCTGAAGATCTTCCCTGTGATCACTTACGTTTGCCAAGCTTCTCTACTGCCAATTTACTCTTTTCCCCTTTGTAATTAGTAAGATTTCTGGGGGGAGGGGGAAGGGTTCTTTGCAACTATACCAATCTCCTGTTCCTCACCAAACTCTGAATTTATTCACGTGTCTTGTGGTTGCCAACCAGGGAGGGCAATTTTGTCCCCTCCCACCCAAGACACCTGGCAATGTCTGGAGAAATTTTTCATTGTAACAACTGTGACCACTGAAAAAATCTAAAATGTGGTATGTGGTTCGCTATATGGGCTCATTGCTATTGGAGGGTCAGTCCTTTCAGCCTCTCAGTGGATAGAGGCAGGGAATACACACACACTCCTCTCGCCTAACGTCAATATTGATTTCGCTATTTATATTATTAAAAACCATAAGTTCGTCCCAATATACCCAATTCCAACACATGACAGGGCTCATTCCAGTCGTGTCCCTTCCCATGTTTGTAAGTCTCTCCTCTAACAGTGAGATCCCTGGTTTCCTTGTCTTTCGCCTATTTACTTAATCAATATCCCACATAGGACTGCATAAGGGAGAGTTATCTTATGAGACTGGGACGGCTCTACGATCACCTGCAGGGACATCTGGAAGTCTGGCGCTGATTCTTAGTCCAGGTGAGGAAGAGGAGGGGTGCAGATCAATGCCTCAACCTGGCGCAGGACCTGCAGTGGCTACATGATCAGCCAGGCATGGAAGATACCACTGGTCATTTTGACCGGGCTCTCCTGAAACCAAGATTCCTCCCTCACACGTCTTGATGGTTCATGACCTGGAGACAGAATGTGTCCTGTGCAACTCCGGAGCGACCCTGGGGCCCGGCGCCAGCGAGCCCCTTGGGCTGCCGATGCCTCCCTGCGCTTTTTTTCCTCCTGCTGAACCACATCCCGTGCCTTTAGTGAGTCCTAGCGTGTGTCCTTCCCATGACCCGACATGGGCCGCACTATAGTAACCAGTGTCCCCTGCTGCCCCTTCCACCTCTCTCTGCTCTGACGCTGACTCCGCACCGGGGCACCCTCCCCCCGGCTGCCCTCCTGGCCCTGCCCGGGCTCCCACGTGCCCACCCAGCATGGGTGCGCTGCTCACCCAGTCAGGTTCCGATGCTCCACCCTGGGCCACCCCTCAACACCTCTGTTTTTCTGTCCCACTCAGTGGCTTCGCGACCAAATTATCAGGGAAGGGGAAGGAAAGAGGCCAAGGGGAAGGAAAAGAGCATTTTTGTGGCTTAAGATCTTACATGCTGCAGAAATCTCATATGCTTTTAAGAGTTAAGATTTTCTTTTCTACTAAATAAAGGATTTTTCTCTGAGATGTAAAAAGTCTGACATGAAAAAAAAAAATCTCAGAAAAAGTCCTTATACCAAACAGGATGAAATAGATTCATAGGTGTATCAGTTAAGATTATGCTCAGCTTCGTGTGAGAGCAAACCACAAATAACAGGGCTCACACAAGACAGGAGTTTCCCTCTCACTTACACATAGGCAATCCAGAGCCCTCTGGTATCTTGTTGCTAAGCCACCCTCTGTGTGTGGCTCCTTCCTTGCTATGGACTGAGTCTTTGTGCTCCTGAAAAATTCACAGGTTGAAGTTCTAATCCCCAATGTGATGGGATTAGGAGGTAAGGTCTTTGGGAGGTGATTAGGTCATGAATGTGCAGCCCTTATAAATGAGATTAGTGCCCTTGTAAGAGCATATGGGGGAGAGATGATCTCTCTCCATCACATGATGATACAGTAAGAAGGCTGCCTTCTGCAAATCGGGAAGAGAGCCCTCAGACACCAAATCTGTTGTCACCTTGATCTTGGACATTTTGGCCTTCAGAACTGTGAGGACTAAATTTCCGTTGTTTAAGCTACTGAGTCTGTGGTATTTTTGTTACAGCAGCCTGAACTGACCGAGACATACTCCATGGTCCAAGATGACTGCCTGGGCCCAGCCATCATGTCCACATTCCTCTCAAAAAGAAGGAAAGGAAAAAGAAGGCTCCCTCTTTCAGGATACTTCCAAGAAGCTGACCATTGTATTTCCACTTACAAGGAATTAGTAAGACTCTAGTAATCCACTGATGCCTAGCTATAAGGGTGGCTTCCAGGTGATCACAGGCCAGCTAAAAATTAGAGGTTTTATTACCGAGAAAGACAGGTAAGCTGAAACTGGCAGACCATCCATCTGAAAGTCAGCAAAATCAAAAGATAACTGATGACGCCCCCATCTCCCCTGCCTTAATTTCTCCTAAAACACCACAAGTAACTAATTAATTAGAAAGAAAAAACTGTGCTCTTCTCAAAACAGAGCAAAGCTCATAAGCCAAGGTTCACGATGACAGGATTTAATTAGGGAAAACCGGTTCTTTTTCATCATTTCACTGTGTCTTCTCAACACATACTTAGCAGGAGAGAAAGTGACAAAGTTCACATTTTTTTTTTCTTTAACAGAGAAGAGTAATTCAGTTGCTGCTTCACCGATCACACCACTAGAAGGTATTTTCCTCTCTCACTATTGTTACAGGGCCACACGCGAAAGTAGGTAAGAGGGAGAAAAATTAGAGCAGAAAAGAAAAAAGTTAATAAAAGATCTTTGAGGAAAATATTTAGGGCAACAAAGGACTGCAGGTTGTGTCTGCAGGGAGGGCGGTTAAGTTGGACAAAAATCTAGAAACACCAACAAAGCCCAGGACAGGCAAAGCCCAAGGAGCGACAGGCGTGTATTTATGCCACCAGCCACTCCCTCGCACTCGGGAACGGTGAGTTCATTGTGCGCCTCGTATGGAAACTGCGCCGTTAACAAAGAAAGGAGAAAAGGTCTCCCAAAATAGGATGGTTTATTTAAAAATACAAAAGCCACCCCAGTCGGACACGCCGGGGGAAAATGGAAGCGGGCCGTGCCACTGACCTGCCACTGGTGCCTTGCTGACCGTAATGACACACTGGGACGTCTTCCGCTGTGTTAATGACACACCCTGATGGTTCTGCCACCCAGAAACCATTCAGAACGGGCTCCACCAGAGCAGAGAGAACAAAACTGTTATTAAAATTCCGAAAGCAATACTCAACCATGCTTTGCCCAGGCGTTTTCGGAGTAGAATACATTTCAAAATTCAATTCGATAACTAAGAAAGTGTGTTGATATGCGCAGTTAACTGTTACAGTGCCTTGGCTGTCATTCTGTCTCCGGCCTCTTTAAGAATGTTATTTGGGTGAACATGGGATCAGGACAAAAGGAACAGTGGGAAGCAAAACTGTTGGAAGAGTTTGTGGGGCAACGGGGGGCAGGGGAGGGTACGGGCGCTGTACCCGTGATTTATGATCGTTTATTCCCTAGCCAGGAATCAGCAGGAAAACGCTCAGAAAGGAACTAGTTGGCTCAAAAATTTCACAAGAAAGAATCAAGGACTCATTCAGGCTCATACTGACTGGGCATCTATTGATCACGCTCAGAGTGCCAACACTTCCCACCTTGGAGATTCTCATAGAAGTAGCA